TTAATACCCGTGGTGGCACAGAAATCTTGAGCTCCAGACTCCTGGTCGTAGTGTTATAATGTGTTGTCTGTTGACTTGAACTTTATGAATCACCAAGGACCACGAGTTCAGTTAAAAATCATCTTTTAGTTCTACTAAAGAAAGAAAGTAGCCTACATCTTGGTTGGCCAAAGGATGAGAAAACTGACAGCAAATGTTAATTTTTGGTTATTTTTCAGTGTGTCAGGTTTATACTTGTAGTTGTAGTTGACAGTCGAAGTTCACTTTTTTTTTAAAACAGTACACTGTACATATACCTTGGCTTAATCGCTTATTCATTTGTGCAGATCTGCTCCGAGTTTCTCAAAATTATGAACGTCAACCTGAAGAACCAGAAATAAAGTTGATCCCACAGAAAAAGTGTCTGAAGTACTGAGTCAGCTTTTCAGGATATGTGACACTTCAGGTCAGTGGTTACACTTCTTAATGGCTGATAAAGCAACTACAGTTGATTTTGAGTGATTTCGGTTGTATTGTCATACACACAGACGTTTTAGGGTGATGCACAGTATTGTGTGGCAGTGTGGATTAGATTCCATGTTAATGGAAGTACAGGGCACACGACCAATCTAAAATATTCCCTGATCTTCGCTTGATCAGATTCTTGAAGTACGCTTAGATAAAAAGGGTGTGTTGTCTACGCTATACAGGCTGATCTCCTCCATCTCCACTTCCTCTCTCTCTTTTATTAAACAATGATGGGCCTCACATTTGATGACGAGACTTGGAACCAGATCCTGTCCCGTGTTCATACCTCCTCTATTTGTGCACGTCATAGTCTTATCTAATTAAAATTTATTCACTGAATTTACTGGACAAAAGTGAGGTTGGCAAAAATCAAGCCTGGTATCGATCCTCTCTGTCAACCTAAGCATTAAGATGTTATTATGATCGTGACCTGAATCTGGTTCGGAGTGTGTGATTATGTGTGGATACTTGCGTATGTATATGTATATACTTTAAAGCTGTAAGGTTTTGCTTGTGGAGGTATATGCACACATTTGATAAATGTTCGAAATGTCTAAACTTTAATGCTCCAACATATTTTCTATACTCGAGACATTAGACTTGACGTTCTTTGTTTTACAATATGTATCGAGTTTTTTTAAATTTTTTAAATTTTAGTTTGTTTAATTATACTTTTTTTTTCTCTCGCTGGGGGGAAAAATATTTTTTCACGATTCTCCTGTATCTGTATCCTGTTATTATTGTAAAAGTTCAATAAACAGATTTAAAATAAATAAATTAATAAAATAATACTTATGCTTATTTATTGTTATTGGACTGAGAGTATTTAACAAAATATTGAACGCACTTTTTTATTTGTCTGAATGATCATCTACAGACCTCTCCATAGCTTTATCTCAAGAAGCATTAGGGCAGTTGGACATTAGACTGTAGAGCGACAGTACACCAGCACGCAAACAACACGACTCACCTGTCACTGTTGTAGACTCGTAAACCTCTTTACTGTAGTTCCAGCCGTTCACACAGGACTCGACCTCGACCTCACTGACATTGACCTCCACATTTGGGGTGTAGTCCCACAAGGGTATAACACCACGCAGCCACAACAAGCACTGCTCATTGACACTATCCCGGCTGAGCCCAGCCCACAGAGCTCATCACAGACGGACTGTGACACATCAGAACAGCTCCAAGACTCAGCACCCAAGGACGACTTTCTGGAAAACAGCCAGGGAAGCCAGGACAACATAACAACAGAGCCACAGCCCATCTCACCAGACACATTATCCCTCTCTCCAGCATCTCCACTTCTAAGCTTTTCACAGAAAATGGAGGAACTGGTTTATGCTGGGATCAAACTCTCCCAATCTTTTGCTGCAAGCCCTTAGATATCAACTAAAAAACCACCAAAGCCTGTGGGCCCAGCTCCTGTGAGAGCTCTCCGGCCGCTGTCACAACGCCAGAGCCCCCACTCACCAGACACATTATTCCTCTCTCCAACATCTCCACTTCTAAGCTTTTCACAGAAAATGGAGGAACTGGTTTATGCTGGGATCAAACTCTCCCAATCTTTTGCTGCAAGCCCTTAGATATCAACTAAAAAACCACCAAAGCCTGTGGGCCCAGCTCCTGTGAGAGCTCTCCGGCCGCTGTCACAACGCCAGAGCCCAAACCCTTCATCTGCTGTAGGTGAACCAAAAACAACTGATAACAGCTCTCAGTGATGTGTGTCGGGTCCCCGCTATAATAGCAGCAACATTTACAAATGTTTACAGAACAAGCAGGAACCCAGTGTGCCTGTAGTTTTCTCTATTTCTGTTTTATCATGTGATAGAAAGTCTAAGGCCTTCTCAAGCTGTACCAAGCTGCATCAAACTAATATTGCTGTTGAGACAAAATGCTCTAGATTTAATCATCAGTAGAGGTCTAAACATTTCATCCATTGTTATTAAAGACGTAGCACTATCTGATCACTTCTGTATTTTCTTTGATATATTGATCTCTGCTACCACTGAATCTAGATCTGTCTCTGTCAGAAAGAGATGCATTAACGAAAACACTAGTGTGCTATTTATGGAGGCTATATATATATAACAGCAAGCATCTCTGCAGACTCTGTTGATCTTCTCCTTGATTCTTTTAACTCAAAAGTTAAGAATGTTATTGATGACATTGCTCCTGTGAAAGTCAGTAAGAAGACTGGCAGACAGAAATCAGCTTGGAGAAAATCAACAGCAGTTCAGAGTATGAAAAGACAATGCAGAAAAGCTGAGTGGATGTGGCAGAAGATGAAACTTGAAATTCACTTTAGCGTCTATAAAGACAGACTTCGTGCTTTCAATAAATGATATTCGCTTACATTCTGATTCTGGCAAAATATCAGTGCTGGTACTACTAGATCTCAGTGCTGCGTTTGGAAAACTGGGTCGGGCTTTCTGGCATGGTAATTAAATGGTTCAGGTCATACTTAGAAGGGAGAGGTTATTATGTGAGTATAGGAGAGCATAAGTCTAAGTGGACGTCCATGACATGCGGAGTCCCACAAGGCTCAATTCTTGCACCGCTCTTGTTTAGCCTGCATATGCTCCCACTATGTCAAATAATAAGAACCAAATTGCCTATCACAGCTGTGCTGATGAAACCCAGATTTACCTAGCCTTATCTCCAAATGACTACAGCCCCGCTGACTCCCTCTGCCAATGCATTGATGAAATTAACAGTTGGATGTGCCAAAACTTTCTTCAGTTAAACAAGGAGAAAACAAGTCATTGCATTTGGAAACAAAGATGAAGTTCTCAAGGTGAATGCATACCTTGACTCTAGGGGTCTAACAACTAAAAATCAAGTCAGGAATCTTGGTGTGATTCTGGAGACAGACCTTAGTTTCAGTAGTCATGTCAAAGCTGTAACTAAATCAGCATACTATCATCTCAAAAACATTGCAAGAATTAGATGTTTTGTTTCCAGTCAAGACTTGGAGAAACTTGTTCATGCCTTTATCACCAGCAGGGTGGACTATTGTAATGGTCTCCTCACCGGCCTTCACAAGAAGAGCATTAGACCGTTGCAGCTCATCCAGAACGCTGCTGCCAGGATTCTGACCAGAACCAGAAGATGAGCATATCACAGCAGTCCTCAGGTCCTTACACTGGCTTCCAGTTAAATTTAGGATTGATTTTAAAGTACTTTTATTTGTTTATAAATCACTCAATGGCCTAGGACCTAAATACATTGCAGATATGTTCACTAAACATAAACCTAACAGACCACTCAGATCATTAGGATCGAGTCAGTTAGAAATACCAAGGGTTCACACAAAACAAGGGGAATCTGCTTTTAGTTATTATGCCGCCCGCAGCTGGAATCAGCTTCCAGAAGAGATCAGATGTGCTAAAACATTAGTCACATTTAAATGCAGACTCAAAACTCATCTGTTTAGCTGTGCATTTACTGAATGAGCACTGTGCAATGTCCGAACTGATCGCAGTATATTTTATGTATAATCATTTTCTATTCTAACTGTTTTAAATTAATTTTAAACAAATACATTTTTCAATAATTTTCAAAGTTTTTAATTTCCTTGTTTTATTGTTGTGATTCTTTTCTTTTATATAAAGCACTTTGAATTTGCATGGAAAACCCCTCACAGTTTCCATTTTTTATCTGTTCCCAGAAAATCAGTGATATCATCGTAGTCCCTCATTTTTTTAACCAAACCATCAAGTTTCTCCACTGTTTGCATTGACCTCTTGCGTTTATCATTCAGTTTTGCACATGCTTGTAACATACCAATTTGGAATATCATGTTTATGATAGACTTTGACCAGGTTCACCTCAGTGGCTGTTTAAAGTTCACATGCTGACCAAGGGATCCTTTATCAAACATTACATCAGTTACTGATCTTTGAATCGTAAGAGATTGAAGAAATGAGCAACTCCCGAGGACCTTTGTAATTTATGAGAGGAAAACAATCCAAGTGTTCGTGTGGCTGGAGATCAATTTAAGCATGACATGACAAATTCAACTGTAATCTGGTAACTTACTGAACAGAACTGTCTCTCCTGCCACGGTTATGAATGTGAGACAGCAGTGACGCTCAGAAGTACTCAACTCTCAGTGTTTAAAGTTTTGATAGAACTGGAAATGTGTGTGCATGGGCTAGGGAAATTTATCATTTCCATTTTTAAAAATGTTTTGATTTTAATATCTTCTCCAGTATGTATTTAGACAAATAAATGAAAATACAGCCCTTACTGCTTAAAAGTGACGCTAAGATGTCTTTCATCATTCATTCTTCATGAGACATTCTGTCCTCGTGTGCTGATGATGATCAAACAGTGTAGACACATGTAGACTGATTACTAGTACAAGGCAGCAGACTGTATCAGAGCATCCGGTTTCTAATATACATGCGTTCTGTCTAATATCCTGACATTCCAGCTCCCTTCTGTCCTCCAGCACCAGACACACTCACACACCATCAATACAAATATGAGTAGTGCCACAAGAACTGTATTTAGACTGATTATTTCAAACAAAGAAAGGAAGAAAACTAACATTACAACCTACCAAAAAACACCATATAGAGCAGATACACAGCAGTCATATAAAAGCAGAGACGGATGTGAAACAGAGCAGATGAACACAACAGAAAGCCTCAGGTAACGTATCGCGGCTCTTCTGGGGGATCGGCATTAGTTTAAGTGTGAGAAGCACAAAACATTTGACACGAGAGAGCAGATCTGCAGTCATTCAGTCTCTGTCATGCTTTCAATCAGGTCCTCACTGGACCAGCGGTGAAATCGGAGCATTAGAGACGCTGGATTCACTCAAACGCCAGCGCTTTAATGGTGTTACTGTGAGGTTTGGCACATCATCATCACTACACAAGCATGTGACTGTAGTGACTCCCGTATGGACAAAAAACACAGTAAGCATTCAAAGAGGAATTGCAAAGCCAGCTAACATCTGCACGTCATCAATCATGGCTTTCTGCCACTCTGAGATCGCCAGGGAACATTATTCCACTTGTTTGCTCCCGTCTGACTTCTGGTCCAGCCGGCTTTTACTGCTCTTCACCATATAAATAAAGTACGTGAGCGTCTCCTTCTCATTGACTGGAATATTGCGGAAGTGACGGCTCACGGTCTGGAGAAGAAGAAGAAAGATCATTAAAAACAAAAACACTGAATTCATTGATTTTACTAAAACGGATGAATGCTGCGTCATGATTGGCTGACTGATGAACTTTCTAGAAGCTCCACGTCCATCACGAGACGATTCAATCTGATGAAATGATTTTCCTGAAATCACCATTAATATGTAGGGATTAGGGAAGCATATTCTCTAAACACAGACAGACCAAGCGTTTCTCCACAATATTAACCTGCTAGTTAATAGCAGTTGATGGAGAACTAGTTCCCGCTGAACCTGAAGAGTGTGTTTTATGCAAGATGCTTTAAGTCACAAGCGCAGGGTTTGATGTCCATAACTTACGTTACACAGTCATATTCTATATTCTGCACATGTGAGCAGATGCAGCCGCAATACAACAGAGACAGACGCTTGCTTTTGATTAAAATATGCACTTGGAGGAAAGATTTGCTGTTGGACATCAAGTTCATGCAAGAAAAAAACTTGAGATTCACAGGAAACATAAATTATAGTAAGTGTCGTATAAATTTTATAGTATTTGAAAGAAGAGGTGACTTTTGAACTTCTAATTAAGATTGGTCCCCAAAGGAGGATAATCACAGGACTTCTCATCAGTACCTCTGCGAGCTGGGCTTTGTTGAGTCCAGGTCTGGTCTGGATCTTGTAGTGCCTCTTGTACCGTCTCAGTGTGTTGACCTGAAGCTGGAACAGATCCACCTGCCGGAGAGAGCAGATCTAGCATCAGTCTCACTCATTATTACTGCCAGCTCTGAACATCTGCTGGATACTAGGGCTGCATGATAAATCACGATCAACAGTAAATCTCACATAAATCAACCTGTCAAGTGCAATTATGATATCGCAAAGACTGAGTGTGTGTGTGTGTGTGTGTGTGAGTGAGTGAGAGTGAGCGAGCGTGTGCGTGAGCGTGTGCGTGTGAGAGTGTGAGTGAGAGTGTGAGTGTGTGAGTGTGTGAGAGTGAGAGAGTGAGAGAGTGAGAGAGTGAGTGTGCGTGTGAGAGTGTGAGTGTGTGAGAGTGAGAGAGTGAGTGTGCGTGTGTGTGTGTGAGAGTGACAGAGTGAGTGTGCGTGTGAGTGTGTGAGTGAGTGTGAGAGTGTGAGTGTGTGAGAGTGAGAGAGTGAGTGTGCGAGAGTGAGAGAGTGAGTGTGCGTGTGAGAGTGTGTGAGTGAGTGTGAGAGTGTGAGAGTGTGAGAGTGAGTGTGTGAGAGTGTGAGTGTGTGAGTGAGTGTGAGAGTGTGAGTGTGTGAGAGTGAGAGAGTGAGTGTGCGAGAGTGAGAGAGTGAGTGTGCGTGTGAGAGTGTGTGAGTGAGTGTGAGAGTGTGAGAGTGTGAGAGAGTGTGCGAGTGAATGCGTGCGTGTGTGTGAGTGTGTGTGTGTGTACGCGTTTTTGTGACAAATGAGGACATAAATGTGTATAATGACAAAGGTATGACAGGTATTACAAGGAGAATGTGACTTTTCAGGACATTACCCCATGTCCCCACTTTTCAAAACGCTTATAAATCACACAGAATGGAGTGTATTGAAAGTCGTGGCCTAATGGTTAGAGCGTCGGACTCGTAACCCAAAGGTTGTGGGTTTGAGTCTCGTACTGGCGGGGATTGTAGGTGGGGGGAGTGAATATACAGCGCTCTCTCCCTTCAATACCACGACTGAGGGGCCCTTAAGCAAGACACCGAACCCCCAACTGCTCCCCGGGCGCCGCAACATAAATGGCTGCCCACTGCTCCGGGTGTGTGTTCACGGTGTGTGTGTTTTCACTGCTGTGTGTGTGCACTTTGGATGGGGTAAATGCAGAGCACTAATTCCGAGTATGGGTCACCATATTTGGCCACATGTCACTTCACTTTTCAACTTTATTCCGTTGAAGTTTATTTCACTTCGGAACATTCATTCATGGATTTGTGCTACTGTCTTCACACACAGACAGTAAAATTTAAATTCAAATTATTATTTAAAATTATCTCAGTTTTTATTATTCTTTTAAAATGAGACATCTGCTATTATTTTAATCTCCAATCTGTTATTTATCGGTTCAGATAGATTTTTAATGCTTTGATTACTAGCAGAAGACACTAACCAGTTTTAAACTCCAGTTGCGCAGATGGGGCACGTTGTAACGCTGCGTTACAGTGTGCTATTCTACATTAATTCTACATAATTTTAATGAGAAACAACGAGAAACAGGTGAATAATGACTGACAGTCAATGTTTAATGTTTAGAAATGATTATTTCAAGACATGTAAAGCATTTTTGCTCGTTTATGTGGGCCGTCCCAAGCATGGTTGCAATGTGTTCATTGTAAAACTCCAAAATCAGATTATTTTTAATTCTTAAAAAAATATATATTATTTTATTAACAAAATATTTTAATTTGTCTTGTATATTTTTTTTCATTCGATCAGATAAGATTTTAAGCTGTCATATGGTCAAGTTACAACCTACGGGGGGGTGTTCCACCTACGGGGCATGTTGTCACATTTCACTTCCATTTTTTGAGGGTAAATAAAGAAAAATATATACACTGTAATTATGAAACAAAGCAACATATTTGTACTTTACAATGTGCTATTCTATGACATTAGCGATGTAATTTACACTATTTTAATTAATTTTAATGAGAAACAACGAGAAACAGGTGAATAATGACTGACAGTCAATGTTTAATGTTTAGAAATGATTATTTCAAGACATGTAAAGCATTTTTGCTCGTTTATGTGGGCCGTCCCAAGCATGGTTGCAATGTGTTCATTGTAAAACTCCAAAATCAGATTATTTTTAATTCTTAAAAAAATATATATTATTTTATTAACAAAATATTTTAATTTGTCTTGTATATTTTTTTTCATTCGATCAGATAAGATTTTAAGCTGTCATATGGTCAAGTTACAACCTACGGGGGGTGTTCCACCTACGGGGCATGTTGTCACATTTCACTTCCATTTTTTGAGGGTAAATAAAGAAAAATATATACACTGTAATTATGAAACAAAGCAACATATTTGTACTAGACAACTGTAAAATAATATATAAAAAATATATATTCTGAACCCCATGTGGATTTACACAAACTGAGAAAGTCAAAAAGTGTTACTTTGTGCCCCGCTCTCCCCTACCTCTGTAAATAAATACAATATAAATTCACGTCTTGCGCACTTTAATGCCCTTTGAATGTGACGTGTACGTTCCCTTGGAACTGGAATCATGGTGGAATTTCATGTGAAGTCCACTTCGCAGGGCACTTACGGTCGAATAAGACCACGCGTGAATGCTGCCTGAACAAGAGACCTCCTTACTGAAGGGAAAGTGTTCACTGGTGTCACTATCTCACGAACGCGCCGGCGGATCTCCACCAAATTTGGGGGATCCTTCAGATCGAGGAGCCCTCTCGAACGCCACCCTCCGCGTGTCGGTAGCCCCCGGGATCGCTAGATCGGTCGGCGCCGGACCGAGAATTTAACCCCCCGTAACTCCCGAACCCCCGGGGCTATCCACGCGGGGGTGGTCTCATTCGAAAGAGGGCCTCGAGACGTACACTCGATTCACGTTCGAGAGGGTTCCTCCAGCTGAAGGGATCCCCCGAATTTGGTGCGGATTTGCCACTCCGTTACGGAGATATGGCTGTTCAAAGTTTCAATGGTTTTCCATTGACTTAAGCTTTAAAGCGTTTCCTCCAGGTCGCCAGTAGCAAACAATGGAGCGCGCTCTGCTGGACAAACTAACTAATTACACCATTTCAAGCATTTTATCTACATTATATGTTCTGTAAAAAAAAAATTCATATTGGCGGCATATTCGCCGATACCGATATATCGGCGACAGGCTCATATTGGACGATAATATCGGCTAAACGATATATCGGTCAGGCTCTACTACAAACACTAATTGATAAATATGCACATCAAAACAAAAGTCAAATTTTCACCTGTTTTATTGATTTCAAGAAAGCATTCGACTCAATCTGGCATGATGGACAACCCTCTACAGTGCGAGTAAATCACTCACATATGCAACTAAATCTTCACTCTGGGCGACTAAATGATGTCTAATATTAGCCACTGGCTAATAAATTCTCAGATTTTACTCGCTAGTGTGTGAGTTTGAGGCTAAGTATAAGTTGAGCACAGATATATTCACTCGCCGAACACTCTGCCTGAGCGCTTCAGAGTTTCTCTCTCCACCAAGCGATCTGTGCTATTCTTCAGTTCATCTCAATGGATGCGCAGCGCACCTGTATTTGACATACCGTAAACTCCAGTGTGAAGGCACTCGCCGGCGCTTTGTCTCACACACAGAGAGAGAGAGAGAGAGAGAGAGAGAATTGATGTGCTACATGTAAATTATATTCTTTGTTGTATTTTCCTGTCAAAATAACAGCGCTCCTTTGGAGTTCTTCAGCTTTTAAGAAATGCCGCTTTCTCCGGTAGTGGGTGGGACTAATGTGCAAACGGCAATCTCATTGGCTGGTGCTCACTTATTATCGTCCCTGTTTTGATTTCAGCAAATTGGTTTGAGCGAACGCACACAACCTTATTAATATTTATGAATCCAGCAGCTCATTAATCCTTAGTGTATTTGATGATGTTCTTATTTGTAGAGATTATATTATATATATATATATATATAAATATATAAATAAATCAGTCTGGTGAGTAAACTAAAAAAAATTTACTAGCCAATGGCGATTCAATTGCCAAGGTGTCCGTAGAGGGTTGA